GGTCTCTGTTAGAATGGTTGTCAGGTTGAATACCTTGGTTTTACTCTAAGTCATGGTGAGAGGAATGTCAGTCACAAAAGAGCTGTGGCTCTCGTGGGTCTGCCCCGATCACAAACAAAAAAGGACATGCTAAGTTTTCTTGGTATGATTAGTTACTGCTGCCAATGGATACTCGATTGTTCATTCTATGATCATACTCTGAGGTCTGCCACACTTTCAGAATCACCTGACATTCTCATATGGTCAAATTAAATGGTTGATGCCTTTGTGTACCTGAAGAATGCTATGGTAACGGCCCCTGGTCTTGGACTACATGACTATAAGAAAATGTTTCATTGTATGCTAGGGAAAATTGTACAACCATGGCGGGGTCCTGGCTCAGGAACATGGAGGCAAGCTGTAGTTTTTTTTTTTCCAAAGTAGTGCCAACTCAGGTTCAGGGCATGCCTGCTGTTGCATCCTGCGCGATGATGGTAGAGATGGCAATTTTTTTTCACATTGGGACATGAAACTACCCAACACCCCACACATCAAGTGTCCTTACTACTGAAAAACATACACACTCAACACATGTCAGCACAAAGGTTGAGCGGATATGAAGTGATTCTTCTATCTGATCCCAACTTGATTATTAAATATTCTTCAGCAAATTCAGGCCCTGCTCCAATTTTGAATGCCCTACTGGGGCTAAAGGGAGAACAGGATGAAGTGGCACCAGAACAGAAATTGTATAACCCACATACAGCAAGACAGTTCCCCTAGGCCCGACATGTCAGCTGTGGCTGTTGATGGGGTCCCAAATGTGTTTGTAGATGGCTCATGCTCTAGGCCAAATGATAATACTTACCATGCAGGATATGCCATTGTGCAACTTCCTGACAAAATACTCAAGGCAAAGCCAATTCCATATCAGTCAGCTCAAGCAGCCGAACTGATTGCCCTTACAAGAGCATGTCAATTATTTGCAGGACAGGATGTCAACATTTACACAGACTCCAAGTACGCCCATGGTGTTGTACACGATTTTGGGGTCATTTGGGAGAGAGGAGGATTCATTGCTGCTGATGGCAAAACCATATCTCACTCTTCCTTGATATCTGACCTACTCAAAGCCATACAGTTACCGAAAACATTAGCCATTCTTCATTGCAGGGCACATACAAATCGCAGAGATCATATTGCCAAAGGAAATGCATTAGCAGATAAGGTAGCAAAGGAAGCTGCATTACAACAGGTGGCCAGTGAACAGATGCCTATGCTCACTTCAGGCGTCACAACCACACCACATGACCCGATGTATACAGATTTACAAAAATTTGCTACAAAAGTCGATCTAGCAAACTGGAATGGTTCTGGAGCACAACTAGATCCAGCTTCTGGTCTAGTGTGCTTAGAGGGGAAACCATGCATTCCCATGTCAAGCACCCCATTGTTCATTGCACAGTACCATGGTCTAGGACAGCAATGGGCAAACTACGGCCCACGGGCTGTATACGGCCCAGCGGGCCTTTTAATCCGGCCCGCGGAGCGTGATACTGTCAGGATGGCTGTCAGGATGTGTGTAGGTGGGGCAGCGTGACGAACGTGAGGGGAGCTAGGCTCCTCTCACAGTCCGCCCTGAAGACCGGAACGGCGCGGGAAAAACACGGCGAGAGTAACGCGCGGAGCAAAGGTAAGTAAATTGACACAGGGGGGGACTTGGGGGATGAATTAAAATGGGGAATGAATTACTATAGGGGGGATGAATTACTATAGGGGGGATGAATTACTATATGGGGGGTGAATTACTATATGGGGGATGAATTACTATGGGGGATGAATTACTATGGAGGATGAATTACTATGGGGGATGAATTACTATATGGGGGATGAATTACTATATATGGGGGATGAATTACTATATGGGGGATGAATTACTATGCTTACTATGGGGGAATATTACTATACTTACTATGGATGACACATACACATCATTCATCTACTCTTCGTCCGTCCCCCGGGTCCAATATATGAACCCATTGCGGCCCTCAAGTCAAAAAGTTTGCCCACCCCTGGTCTAGGACATAGAGGATGGAAAACGACATGTGAAACATTATTGCAAGATTTTTACATTACAGGTTTATCTAGGTTGGTGAAAGAATATATTTCCAGGTGCATTACATGTATAAGGAACAATCCAAGAACCCAAAGAAACCACAACACCTAGTACCCAGCTACACCTTTCACTCATTTACAAATAGATTTTACCCACATGCCAAAAACAAGACAGAGGCAAGAGTTTTTGTTGCTAATGGTGGATATGTTTAGCAGTTGGGTGGAAGCATTTGTCACTAATAAAGAAGACGCTCAGACTGTAGTCAGAATTCTTACACAGGAGATAATACCCAGATGGGGATGTCCGCTACAGATAAATTCTGATAACGGACCAGCCTTTGTGGCCAAGGTATGCCAAGACCTGGTAAAAGTACTTAAGATAGATTGGAAATTTCATATTCCCTATCATCCTCAAAGTTCGGGTATAGTAGGAAAAATGAACAGGACAATTAAGGATAAGTTGAGGAAGGCCACTGAAGGAACCTATACCCACTGGAAGAAGATGTTACCTGCAATTCTAGCAGAGGTAAGAATGACACCTAATAAGACTACAGGGTTATCCCCTTTTGAAATATTAATGGGAGACTTCTTGGGCCAGACAGCCACTTATATTAGAAAGAGGGGACCTTGACTTGGTACAACAAGAATATGTGAGAAAATTGATTCAGACTTTAGATCAGATTGAAAGAAATGTTGCTTGCACCTCTCCTTTATTTTCTCAGGAACCAACACACCCTTTCCAAGTGGGAGATGTCGTAGTGGTCCGCCAACTTGCTAAAGACAAGAATCAAGGCTACCCCTTTGGACCACTTACTACGGTGATAGCGGTTACCAGAACGGCTGTTCTGGTGGAGAATTCCCAGTCCTGGATCCATGCTAGTTGAGTGAAGAAGGTGAACCAAACACCTGAGAAACACGAGATGGAAAAAGGAGGTGAGAGGAAAATCCTCGAAGAGCGGGTGAAATTGGTGAAAAAGACCCTGAAGATGACATTCCTTACTGCCCCTCATGGTGTTTTGAAGATCTGGGTCCTATTGGTCACACTGACTGTGCTTTTTTTCCTGCCAGTATGGATCATAACTACCTGTATTTATCACCCTGATGACTTGGGCCTAATAAAAGGTATCTGTGGTCAAGGACTAGATTTAAACCCAGACCCAGATAACCAAAAGTGAAAGAAAGTCAAAAAGAAGTTTTTGAAGAGAAACAATTCTTTTTCAGGAAAAATGTTGATGATGCAGTTTAAATATGCTTATGTTCAAATGCCACCATATCTTTCCCAACTCTGGGAGTCACTCAACTCCCCAATTGGTGTTTTAGACTGGGGAATACTTCCCACAAGGGAAAGGGAATGTGCTCTCAGTCCATATTAAATATATCTGATCCTGGAAGGAGGGATGGAACTTCTTCTGTGAAACTCTGGCAAGTAAATGGTAGAGCCCTGGATGAAAGTTTAGAAGGGATACAAGACAATGTGGGGAAAACTATGTTTGGAAAACGTTTTTATTTCACACTTGTTGTCACCCCTGAATTTCGCTCTGCAATACAAAAATTGCCGATCTCCTTGGGAAACAATACCTATATCTGTTGTGGTAAGATCTGTTACCCTTGGATACCAAGTAATGTCCAGGGCTGGTGCTAAGTAGCCCAATTAGTGCCAATTATGGCAGCTATAGACCAGAAGGAACACCAGGTAAAAGCCAGTACATACCCAAAACACCAACTAACTCTGAGACAGAGAAGGGAAACCAAACAAGAAAAGGTAGATCTATTCTCTACAGGTGATAAGGTTTGGTCAAGGTTCCCTACCTATACAGGATGGGGAATAACACTCATGAACAAAATAAATAATTACACAAACATTTTTGATGATATACTGGAGAGGAACTCTAAGGACATAGGGTTGCTAAATACCGAGACCAGAGCTATTAGAAAACAGCTGGAGAGTGCTGCTCTGACAGGTTTGTGTGAGATGACAGAGGATTATGAATGTTGTACTTGGATAAATAATACCACAATGACTGTTCCAGATTATTATAAATAATAATAAAGCAACACAGGGAACAGGTAGATGGTTTAATGGAAGAAGCTAGAGCTATAGGAAAAGATGGATGGACTCCTTTGATTGGCTAGGATCAGGATTTGGTTTCATCTTTCATGGATGAAAGGTATTGCTGTAAGCATAGCCATGATATTGTTTTTTGTTTTATTTTTATATCTATGTTTTAAATGCTTATTATATTGCATTGCTAGAGTTACCAAGCCGCAAAATACAAATGAAGGTTGTCTGGCTATGTACAAAAAGATGAATGAGGTAAAGAATTGAGATCATGTTCATGATCTAAGAGGGGATTGAAAGGATCTAGATAACCTCCATTTTGTTGATGTACGCCATTTTAAGTATTAAGTTAGGTTTTTGCAGATATATTAGAAGTTTAATTAACCACTTGCCTACCAGGCACTTATACCCCCTTCCTTACCAGGCCAATTTTTAGCTTTCAGCGCTGCCGCACTTTGATTGACAATTGCGCGGTCATGCAACATTGTACCCATATGAAATTTTGATCATTTTTTTCTCACAAATAGAGCTTTCTTTTGGTGGTATTTAATCGCCACTGGGCGCTTTACTTTTTGCGCTATAAATTAAAAAATGTGCAAAAAATTTGAAAAAAAAAAAAAAAAAGTATTTGTTTACATGTAGGTGGCACTTCTGGGCACAGGTAGGTGGCACTGCAGAGTGGCACAGGTGGGGGCACTGCTGGGCACAGGTGGGGGCACTGCTGGGAACGGGTGGGCGGGGCTAGTGGGCGCACTGCTGGGCGGAACTTGCGGGTGTCACTGCTGGGCACCGATCATCAGGGCACTGATCATCAGTGCCCTGATGATCGGTGCCGATCCCCGCTCTGACAACTGCCGGTTCTCGGCAGTACTTTCCTCACGATCTGACAGCGTGAGGAAAGTGCAGCCGAGAACCGGCACTTGCATTTCCCTGTGATCAGCGTGTCATTGGACACCGCTGATCACGTGGTAAAAGGCCGGTGGGATCGGCCTTTCACCACATCACGTGATCAGCTGTGTCCGTAGGACACAGCGATCACGGAGATCGCCGGGTGCGCGCCCCCTGGGGCGCGCAGGAGAGCGCGTTCTGGGAGGACGTCATATGACGTCCACTGAGAACTGGCCAGCCGCGGTGAAGCCGTCATTCGGCTATGCGCGGTCGGCAAGAGGTTAAACTGTTTTAGTTTGCTCAAGGATGTAGCAACAAAAGATAACATGACCCTGAAGTTTTCTTTGCCCGGCTATTTCTCAGAAAGCTAGCAAAAACAGTTTATACCAAGAAATGTATATGTCATGTTTCATGTAGTTAGCTCATGATGGAAACTTACAAGTTACAGTGTTGAAACTCACTCCCCCCCTCCCTTATTTTTTCTGTATCCTATATAATCTTAGTAATATCTAATAAACTTTGAACATAAGCTGCCGTTATTTCAGTGTTCAAGGGGTGTTCCCAGAATTCTGCTGATAAATCAGGAATCTCTCCACAGACCGGGGGTCTCTGAGGGGTAAGAAAATCATCCTTTCAAGAGACAGCTCTCTGAACTTCCATGTTCCCTTAAAACCAGTGGAATTCTGTGAACTGCCCTTACTTTTCAACTGGAGTTTGAGAAGAGGGAGATATTGTTCCTCTAACATTATTAGGGTATTACCACCTATGTGTTCTGTGGGAGGCAGGAAGATATTCTCATGCAGGAATCCTCTCCTGAGCACTAATAGTGTCAACATTAGATCTGGTATCTCAAGCTTGTAGAAAATGTGTCTTAGGTTTCCTGCCTCAGTGGTCAATAACTAGTGACACCTTTATGCAGGAAGCCCTGGATGGAGTGATATCTTATCTGATGGTGCCTGCATAGTTTTGGCAAGGTGAAAGGCAGTAGCACAGACCTATAGAACCTCTCTCCACTGAACCCTAATGACCCACTGCTGAGCTCCCACTGACAAGCTAGTTAAAGGTGGCACTCTTCACTAACCACCAGGTTAAGGGGTTTTCCCTGGAACACTTACAAGTGACTGCACAGTTCCTCACCACTGCACTATATAAGTTGTGCTATTTATAACATACCCCTGACCCCTTCACATTGTAAGTTGTGAAGTATTTTACTTAATCATGATATCTGAACCCTGCAAGTTATACTATTTATCCCACGCCTGTGCTGCTCATGTTTGTTGCCTCAGTGATTGATGGTTGTTCTGTAGTCCCCCAAATATTTTAACAAAGTTCTTCTTTAAAGTAGACTTAGACAGAGAGGTAATTTTATTTTTATATTTTGTATGTAGAAAAGCATGTAATGGTTTTGCTCTTTGATTAGAAACCTTACATTCGCTGGCCAGATGTTCAGCCAAATCCTAAAGATGTTTGGCAGTTATTGTTCTGCTCAACATCTTATAATGCAATGCCCAAGCCATCTCTGCTCACTTGTAAGAGTTTGTAAGATGATGGTTTGTACTTAAGTTGCATCCCACACACTATAAAAAGCTACTTTACCAGCAGTTCTTTGTCAGTGTCTTGGGAGATTACTGAGTGGACGTTTTGTGTTTGAGATTTGTTTTAGTGGAGTTCTATTTTGTTAGAGTCTTTTTTTATTTTTATGGATTCAGCAGCAGCAACAATAATGTGAGTCACCGGTGTCAACACTATACAGTAGTTGCCTTTGTTTGCTCTGGAGCAACACAGATCATTGAGGTGCTTTTTTGTCCAGCAAAGCACCCCAGTTTACACTGCACCCAAGCAGCACAATTTACAGTGCACCCAACCACCACAGTTTACAATATACCCAAGCACAATTTCCCCCATGCAGCTCTTACAATAGCTGAAAATAAAATAGGGAATAAGTCCCACATTATTAGCATCATGTCTGGCAGGCCTACAGAGAAAGGCAGAAGTTCCCATGCAACTGTGAGGTGGTGATCAGGCCTTTGTCCACAGGCCAAAACTGTGGTCATGGATGTTGTGCTTCATCTGTAGGCATGGCACACTTGCCATTTTTCTTCAGGCTCTGGATGTGCTATATAACCAGAGTATGTGAAGGAGGTGTTGGGAAATTTCAAAGTGCAGATTAGCTTGGCGTGCACTGCAGATGCAAAGCTCCCTATTTTGCCTCCTCATTCACAGCTACTCCTGCCATTGCCCAACCAACTGTCACTGAATTATTTTAGTGCAAAGTGCATCACTTTCTGCAACAGGATGCACAGCAATTGATGGACTGAGGAGAAGAGAAATGAAAACATAGAGGGAGGGGAAATCAGCCATAGAGAAAAAATTGAATGTAATGTTCCCAAAGCCACAGTATACTACCAAGTTGGCTCCAACAATGAGGAAGGAGGGAATGATGATGGGTATCTGACCATATCTGCATGCCTGATAGAGCAGAAGAGAAAAAGTGATGGAGAGGCCCCTCCCCAGTGAGACAGTGTGCCATTCAGGGGCAGTTCAAAGAGAAGTAGAGGGATCTGCTGCCTGTTTCACCAGATAGCAGATCTCCATGGGTGCAGGGCACTGCTGCCCCCTGGATGGATCCCCGGAGCTCACCTTTTTAGGCCCTTTTAGCAGACCACACCATTGATATTTGCAGTCTTATGTGTATATGAAGCATGGCAATACCATGGAACATTTGGATATCATATTTACTAAGAGATATCTGACCTCTCCCCACAGCACCAGAATTCTAGCCTTCATGAAAAAGGACGCACTCTTCCTCCTCCTTCCTGGTCCTCCCTTTCCACCTCTACCCTCTCTATAAACAATGTCTCCTCACTATCAAATGTTCTCTGAAGAGTGATCAAAACATTGATTGCTCTTCAGAGCATTACATATGTGAACGAGTCAAAACAATCACAGTGGTAAGCAATGGCTGCATGAACGTAGCCAAAGTGGTAGGAAAGTGATTGTTTATACAGTCATCGTGACTGTATAATCAATCACAGTGTTAAAAATAAAACAATCACCCCAACCCAGAGCAAGTGCAGTGTTACATTGTACTGCTGTGGTGGTGATCATGTACAATGGCTGGTTGCTCTGATATCACTGTATCTCAGTGCCACAAGTCTTTGTATTTGATCACCATAACAGCAGTACAATGTCACCAAACCAGTGCTGCCAGTCACCACAGTATTCCTAATCACTGCATCACAAATTACAGTATCCCTGATCACCACAACACCAATCCCGCTGTCCCTGATCACTGTCACACCATTCGCAGTCTCCCTGATCACTGTCACACCAATCATCGTGTCACCATAAGGACAATTGGTGGGTATACAGGGGGTACAATTCCTGCCACAGCTGAGAAGCAAAGCATCACATCTGTTGCATGTGTACACTGCCAGCTGCTGCCTCTGCAACTAAAGAGCTTAGCGGTTGAGGGGTGGTAAAACTTCAACTCAACCACAAGGTTTTACTGCCTCCCAACCTCACATGTGGATGAGCCCTAACGGTGCAGCCAGTCACAGCTTTCCTATCACTGCTGCACCTGTCACAGTGTTGCCATACCAGTGTAGATAGATTCAGTGTTTCTGATTGCCACCACACAAGACCAGTGCAGCCAGCAACAGTTTTCTTGATACCAAACCAGTGCCAGTGTTATCGGACCAATGTATGCCAGCAATAGTGTTCTTTGTCACTGCCACATCAGTCACAATGTCACCAAATCAGTGTAAGCCAGCAATGTTGTCCCTGATTGCTGCCACACCAGTCCTAGTGTAACTAGACCAGTGTAAGTCGGCAACAGTGCTCCTGATCACCGCTACACAAGTCCCTATGTCACTAGACCAGTGCAGCCTGCAACAGTGTTCCTGATCACCACCACAGCATTGCAGTGTTGCCACCTGTACAGACCCTGACCTGTTTATTGACCATGTTTCTGCCTGCTGCCTGGACTAATCCTTTGCCTGTTTGCTAACCATGTCTCTACCTGCCACCTTAACTGACCAATTTGCACATCTGATTGACTACATTCCTATGAGACACCAATCCCAGACAATCCCTGCAGACAACTGGAACCACAGGAACTCTTTTTTTTTTTCTTTCTTCAGCCTCCTGTACTTCCTGATCAGTGAACATGGCATTCTTGGGGGCAGCAACATAGCAGTTGGCTAGGCTTACTTAGCTTTAAAGAACTGTAATTGCTATAGGTGACACTACACTAAGCTATATTACCTGACCACTCATGCAGAGGCAACCATTACAGCAGCTTGTTTTCTATACAGTGTTGGTTGACTTTTGTGATACACCAGATAAAATGTTGGGTACGTATTTAGTCCAAACAGTGAACAAATCTCACATATGTGGTACTAAGGAGGAGCAGCAGAATGTGTTTTGGGGTGAAATTCTAAGTATACCCATGCTTTCCACATATTCCATATATTCCAAAAACCTGTGGAAAAAAGTGAAGTCTTTTAAAAGACTCACCATGTCTCTTAGAAAATACCTTGGGTGTTTGCTTTCCAAAACATGGTAATTTTGTGGGTGTTTCTCCTGTCCTGGCACTAATATGATAGGTAGTCAAAAAGACAAGTAATTTTATGTGCCTTGAAAGCCCAAAGGTGCTTCTTTGATTTTGGGCCCTTCTATGCAACTGAGCTGTGAAAAAATCTCACACTTGTGGTGTCTCCATACTCGCGAGCCATAGCAGAATGTGTTTTGGGGTGTAAGTATGTCTATGCTGGGTGTGAGAAACAACTTGTTAAAATGACAGCTTGACAGCAACAGCAAAATGTTACTTAATTTCTTAATTTGCACAAAAATCGAATACTTTCCAAAATGGGCCATTTGGGGCGTATTTGTACTGTGCTGGCATTTTAGGGCCTCAGGAAATGAGATTAGCAATTTATATGATGTTAAATTATGGTGTCATTAACGTTATCACCAAGAGTCATAACATGTTGTGATTACATCTCCCAAGCATGTTAAAGGAATTGCATATTTTTTATGCTGCCCTTTGAGCTGTTTTAAAATGGCCTCTCAACAATGAACGATAATTATTAAAAAGGCCATTACTGAAAACAAATGTTTAGCTGCCCCTGATTTAAATGGGGTTCAGATTCTAGATCAGAACTTTGATAACATTCTTCAAACCCATCCTAGGTACTATTGAAAATCAATGGGTCTCCCTATTGACACCTTCCATTGTTAGATGTTTTAAGTGTGAGACCACCAGATATTTGAGTTGCCAAGCACCCGAAAACCACCAGCATTACCTCTAATAGTATGGGCATTAGTTCGCCCATTAAATAATTCCCAAACTGCTCTTCTCAATTAGTAGTGTATGTTTAAACATGTCCCTATAACCTGCAGAGATAAAAGTGATATTAAACCTTCTTTTTTCTTTAAAATAACAAACATGTCTTTACTTACCTGCTCTGTGCAATGCCTTTGCACAGAGCAGCCTCGATCCTCCTCTTCTGGGGTCCCCCACCAGCGTTCCTGGCCCCCCCTCTTTGGCAGGTGCACCCATAGAAAGACGCTTTCCATGGGGGCATCTGTGTTGGCTCATTCCTGACCTGCCCTGTCTGTATCCATTGACACAGAGCAGGCAGCTTGGCTTTGCCTCCCCCTGCTCCCATGTTCCAGCATTTGATTGACAGCAGTAGAAGCCTATGGACTCGGCCCAGTGAGGAGGGAGATACCGTAGTGGCTAGAGCCTCTGCTCTTGTGCACATTATTATTATTATTATTATACAGTATTTATAAAGCGCCAATAGTTCACTCAGCGCTGTACATTACAAAGGGGGACAGAACATGTGACAGAACAATACCAATACAATGCAAAACATGAGGGGATCGAGGGCCCTGCTCTTTCAATCACTGGATCGGGCTCAGGTAAGAAAAAGGGGGGGCTTGGGGGGGGAGCTGCAGTACAAATGTTTTTCACCTTAATGCACAGAATGCATTAGGGGGTGAAAAACCTTAACCCCTTCACGCCTAAGGGTAAAACAAATCTAAATGCCTAAGCACAATTCTGCAACGTTGACATGTGTTAGTAAAACCGTACATATCATCACAACTACTTTGTACATCCAGGTGGATTATACCTTGAATTTTTCAGGACAAATTGGGCTTTCATTTGGTGGTAAATGGTAATGGATATCTCCTGATTTTTTTTTTTATTATCAAAGGAAAACTGGCCCAAAATAGTAAAAAAAAAAAAATCCTTTTTTTCTTATTTAGCTGTGTGCTTCTTGTTACAACCATAACCTACCACCAAAGAACAACCCAAAATAAATTCTCCAGCTCTTGATGATCGCAGCGATACCATATATGTGTATGTTATTTGTTGTTTGTACCCGTAGTACAGCCTAGAAACCATAGTGTGCATTTTGTTTTTGTCTTTTTTTTTTTTTTTACCTAAAACACACTGACACTGACATTATCACTAACTGACACTGATACCAATTTTTTTTAAATCCTGACCTTTGACACTGACCTTTGACCCTGGCCTAAACACTAACCCTGGCACTGAACTAGATCAAACCTTGATCTAGGTATTTTTCTTTATTTTTTAATATTTATTTATTTATCTTCTTTTTTTTTTTTTTTTTTCACAAACTTTTTTTTTTTCTCTCTCTGCAAGGAGTTCAAGAGATACAATGTATCTCTCTTCTCCATTCAAAGAGAGAAAAAAACAAGGGGACCAGGCTGCACTGGAGAGGCATGGTGCTCACATAGGTAAATCTGCTAGATCTATTGGAGTAGGCCTCAGGTGGGTGACCTGAAGACCTGAATGCTGAGACCCCGGTTCTGGTAAAGCTGACTGAAGAGCCATCTACTGACGATCTGACTGCTCTATAGACCGATACTGCAAAAGGTTTGAACAGCTTTAAGCCCAAATTTTGTTTGAGGTTTCAACTTCCATCAGAACACTCAACTCCATCTCCCACCTGCCTTCCCGCCCCCCCCCCCCCCCAAATACACACACACACATACTTACTGGAGGCACAAATCACAGTTCTAGCCAAGAAATGGAAGGACAACACCCTGGTCTTATAGACCGTAATCCCCATCTTCCCATCTCTCATTTCAGAAACATAGATAGGATTCATCCCTAGGAGATAAGCACTCAATAACACCTTGAAGGCATTAAATATCTACAGTACATCTATAGGCTAAGCAACACAAAAAGGGAGTTTTTTTTCTGTCAATGAAAGCTGAGAGTAGTGTTGGATTATATAAAGGTAGCTCTAAACTTGCTGGGCAAAAATGTGTAACAAAACATGCTGCGCTACTTAATCAACCCTAGGACTTGTCACCTATTTGCCAAACTGATTACCCCTTCTGAATAGCTAAGCTAAAGAACCACTCCCCAGAGACACTTAGGGGTTTATTTACTAAAGCTGGAGTGTGCAAAATCAGGCTCACTTCTACATAGAAACCAATCAGCTTCCAGGTTTTATTGCCAAAGCTCAGTTGAACAAGTTCAAGTTAGAAGTTGAAGTTAGAAGTTAGAAGTTGATTGGTTTTCTGGTTTAAAGTCTATGACACCATATTGACTGTAACAAGCACTTAACCAAACCTCACTCCAGTCCAATACCTGGTACACAATTCTAACTTACATGGAAAACAATATGCGAAGTCTCTAAAAATGCACATCATCAACAGAGCTAGATTGAGTTTGCTGATAGATTTGCTATCCACACAACCACAAGCTTGAGGGAATGGTTCATCAAACTAAACAAAATAGCAGGATCAGATGAACTTATACACATAGTGCAAGATAGATTGGGCAAACACTAAAACCTGAGCCTGCTCACTCCACTATAAAGCCACAGCACCATATCAACAAGTTATGGCCCCACATAGAATTCTTTCTACTTCACATGACCTGATCCAATGATCCTCACCTGAAAATTAAAAGACTCAAAGTAAGACAGCTTTACCCAAGCCTTTTGAAATACCTTACTAATTAATATACCCTGGTTGCCTCCTTTACCTGATCCCCCACTCTCACTCATCCCTAGAATATCCCCCCTCCTTTCCCACTCTCACTCCAACACTTTTTTGTTCCTGACCTATAGAGGAGACATTTATGGCTCCCCTACCCAGGGTAACCACACTAACCCTCATTGAACATCTCCCCTTTGCCATTTAGATCAGCCTTTGGGCAATTCTAGGCACTAGGATAAATTACTATAAAGAAGCTTGTCAGTATGGAACCCAGAGGCATTTACATCCAACAGGTCAAAGACAAAATAATTTCAGA